ATGGCATAGGAGGACAGAGATAATATGTATTAATTTGATGGTGCTGGAAGCTTAATTTAATAAGAAGAAATGTGTAGAGAAGTCTTTTTACCATTCATAATGACATGTGGAAAGGGACAGTTCATGCTCCACTCTTCCTAAAAGCTGTTCTGGCTTCCAGCAATGCTGTGGCTTCGATCTTTGTGGCAGCTGGTTTCTCTAGAGTGGTTGATTTTTCTTCTTTGGAAATGTGACAAATATTGCCAGAATCCAAGGTCTCTGAAGTATAATAGTTCAAATTAAATTTCTTTTTTCGTATTTGTTTCTAATTAGATTTTGTCAAGGCATTTCCATAAATATTGCCTTGCTGTAGCAACCAAGATACAAACCATTAGAGTTCTAAATAGATAATATTTCCTACCTTTTAGCTTTTGATACCATTAAGTGAACTTTCTAAATCTAAGTGGAAATGTCTGGAAATGTCATTGTCTCCCAGTCTTAACACTTTTTGATTTGTGTGTCTGGCATTTTTCTTGTTAGTTGATTGTCAATGTTTTAGCAGGGTCACCAAACAAATTACATTATTTCTATCTGATTTATTCTGATTTGCTCATTTTCACATAGCATGTGGAAATGTATTTTTTGTGTGTTTGATCATCCTTGTACTCCCTTGTGCAACTTGTTCTACATGCCAAGTTTGGTGTCAAAGAAAAAAAATCATTTGAACCAGAAGGGAAAATATTTATTGAAGATTTTTTGTTGGTGTTCACAAATTAAATGAAATTTTATTTAGCCAGAGAAATATTGTTATTATGTACAATCTGATTAGTTTATTATGGTCTTTAAAATATTTTAAATGTCCAATTCTAAAAGAGAAAAAAATACTAAAGTACACCTCAGGTATTCCAAAGAGGTATTTAAAAATTTCAGATCTCAGAAAACTCAAGGTAGGATGGACAGCAACAGTTTAATTGTTTGACTTTGGGTGGTCTGTTGATTGAAGAAATATTGTTTTATGTTTTAAGCAGCCATGTTCAAGCAATTATTGTGTATTTTTTAAGATTCTTTCCACTGCTTTATTGAGTGTGCATCTTCATTTTCAAGGGCAATCTAAACTCACCATCATCTCAGATGTCCAAATCCATTAATTTTCTAAATTCTGAATAAATTTTTGAGTACTTGGAAAATATAATCAGGGTCATTTAGGCTAATCTTGAGATTTGGTGCAAACTGCAAAGGGAAAGATGGAACAACTGTATTAAATTCTCAGGACTTTTTTCTCTTTAAGGTGCATTTAAACTCCTCCATTTTGAACCTGATCTACCAATTTTAGAAGAATGTTTCTGACCAGCTTCTTAGGCACAAGCTGGCACTTCAGTGTAGATGAACACCTGCTGTTAACTACCCTCATGCTCAGCTCTACTCCTAAATAGAACATGGTAACCATGTTGTTGTCATGGAAGTACCTAAATTTATTTTTTTGCCTGTTGGTGTTGTTGATAGAACCCAGTTAGTGGAAAAAAACACTAGGGAGTGTGGAAACACCAGGATGCCATGGCCCAGATACCAGCATAGCCAGTGCTGTGTTCCCCAAGTCTTCCTTAGCAGTGAGGGGAAAAAATGTATGAACTCAAAATGCTCCATGAAAGTCACACTTTGAGTTAAAACATATATAAACAACTTCGATATTGATGACTTGAGGCTACATAGTTATTATCTTCTACATTTACTATTTTAAAGCTTCTGTAGATATGCCAGCACAAGATGTGCTGAGACATTGAGACATGACTGTGTACTCCCTCATGCAGTGGGTCCTTCTATCAGTCTTTTATGATGCTACAGTAGGAAGGCAAGGTAGGACACAGGTGTGTTCACATCGTGCAGAGAGGTGGGTGTTGTGTGGTCACACCAAGAGTTTTTCTTTGGTTACCACCAAAATTTAAGTCCTCAACTTTCACTGAGTTTTTAGGGGTGTTTGGTTTTTTAGGGGTGTGCAAAGACCTATCAGAAAATCTCACCTGCTGTGTGGCAATTCCTAACTCTGTATGTTTGCTGTCATTTCACAGAATTGAAAACTGTTGATATTTGAATGTTCTGATTAGGAATGTCTTAATTCACTTTCAAAGCAGTTCAGATACTGTCTTTAATTTCACGGAGCACAACTCAGCCACATTAGATATCTGTACACAACAGCATCACATTTTTGTAGAAAAACTAGAAAGTGGAACATGAAATGGCTCTTCATGTCCATAAAAATGTTATGCTCAGATTAAATGCATCATCAGCCATTCAACCATATGATTGCTTGTTAGACATGCCATTTTATGCAAGTCCTGATACTTAAGAGAAATGTCAGCTTAGTCCATGGCTATCATTGTGCATAATTGGAATCTTTTAAGAAACTAACTACCTGATTGGCAGTCTCATTTGAAAAGTTAGATGTCTAAATGCCATCCTGACTCCCATGGGAACTTTTTGGACCAAAACTGAATGCCAGTTTTCAAATTCCTTGGCTGTATTTCTATAGAGGGGCTTATAATTTAAAACTTTACCCTAATAATTCTAATATGAGTCCTCATGGTTTTTCATTAAAATTCAAGTGCAGAGAAGCATTCAAAGTATCCCTTTCTATAATATTTCTTTTGAAACTTTTATTATTTTTTTTTTAAATGAAGATAGCAACATAGTTATTTATGCTTATAGCACTGAAATCCAATTTAACATCTACATCTCCTGCTAACTGTCCCTTGAATCAGGTCTTATTGTATTGGTTTACCTATTAATTCTTCTCTCAGCTGCAAGGCTTTGCAATCCAAATTAAGAGAAGTTTTATTTCAGAATTAAAATGTGCTATGGAAATCTTTCATTTCAAAACCAAAGCTGTCTGAAGATCATGGGATTTTTTTATTATTTCAAAGACACAATTCTGTCAAATTTATAAAAGTGATATATTCCCAATGGATATGTTGTGACCATTTTTCTTTGATTCATCTGTTGTATTTTTTATGACATGTGTGTAACAAGCTTCAATTTATGACCTTGACATTTGTTATTTTTCATCTGGAGGTCTTCATAAATCACCAGAAAATTTTGTTTAAATCGTTATATATAAACCAACCAGAGAAAAAGTCATTGAAAGGGACAGAAGCAATTTCCTTTCTCTCTATTTGTGAGTAATAGTTGAATGGCCCATAAGCCACACAAAGATAGTGAAACATGAGCATGGCAGAGAAAATGCTGCCATATTTGCATTTGACAAAATAACAGTACGTTCACAATGCTGTTGGCTTCTTAATTTCAAAAGGCAGATTTTAATATTACTGACTTCAGAGAAAGATAAGAAAGGCAGTGCACAAGACATTATCAGTCCCATGTGGAAATAATGCATTTAAAATTAAAGACAGCAGTTTAATTAAGTGCATGAAAGGCTGTCTTTTATGATCATATTTCAAATACTCAAACGTCTTTTCATCCATTCTGCCGTATGACTTTACTTAATAATATATCAAGAACCAAAAATGTATTGGAGTCTTTCTGCAAATTCAATTAGTCCAATAAAAAGTGAAAAATAATTTCTTTTTCATTAAAAAGAACTCAACCCTAACCCTTCTGATGACACAGTGCAAGATGAGGAGTGGGGGGAAGCTATAGAACTGTGAAAATCCTGCCTTTGTTACGCATTTATGTGTGCATGAAACAGATGAAGTGTCACCATTAGGAACATTTGTTATTGAAAGGACTAATTGCCTTCTGCTCCAGCTAGTAGTTTATCAGATCCAGACCACAGGGTATTTACTTCTCCCTTAGGATGCACTCACAGTGCAGCAATAAACCCAGACTTTATTGGGCTGCTATAGGCAGGGTAATTATGCTAAAGTGTACCTCTTTAGGTGCTAAACTTCAAACGACCATGACACATTGCACTAGTGATAACAGGTTAAGTGCAACCTCTTGAATCCTTTCTACCTGCTAAGGGAAGTGCAGAGATCATAGATCTTGATTACTTAGACCAGAAAAACGAGTAACACAAACAACTCAGAAGTGCAGCATTTGAAATGAGAAGTGATTAAGCACGGTGTATGACGAGGGAAGCTCTGTGCATGGAGAAAACTTGGAGTTCAGTTAAAATGGGATGGCAAAGGGATATTAAGCTTTGGACTGAAAGCAGTAGGTTACTGGCTCAGCCATGGCACACATCTGTAGTGACTGAAAGTTATTACCTCTTGTCAGCTCCTCTCTGACCTCTGTGAAATGAGGTCCTAGTCTCAGTCTGGCTCTCAGTGGGCAGACATCTCCTTTACAAACACTTGCAGTGCCAAGGCTGGTTTGTCAGTCACAGTCTTGGCACAAAGGCTTGTCACAGTACCACATGAATAAACAACACCCTCACCTCTGAAGCTGGTTCTTCCAGGTCATGGCTGAGGCAGGCTGGCAAATAATTTCAGAAAGCTTGAAACTCCACTGCTAACACAGGGTGGCTCTGGGTAAATAAAATATGTAATTTTCCAGGGTTGCAAGTTGACAGGCTTCGCTTCTGCTGACATAACTAAATGTGGTCCTCAGGGTTGTTGGGGAATGATCTGGTCCAGTTCTGTATGTAGGCACTCACCATACAAACTGATTTCTCACTGCTGTCATTTTTCCTCTTACTTGCCTTGTTCTTGCCTGTTTTATACCATGCTGTCTATCTAGAGGATGTTTCCTACTATGTTTCTCTCAGTATGTGTTTATGAACAGATTGTTTTCCAGATATCTATGAATGTCCTAATCTCATTGTAGCTTCAAAATATTCCTCTCCCAGAGGTTTCCTTACAATAATTACCCATACTGTAGAGATTCAGACAAGCTGCATTCTGAAAATACAGCAACAAATTCACAACAGTTGACTCTGCATTTTTTAATGCAGTAATTTTCATAGAACAGAGGTAAGAACTATAAGAATTATTTTTTCTTGCAAGCATGCAGGTACAAGTGTTTTTGGAAGTATGATTTAATAAACATATGTTTGCTTTTTCATATAGGTAACCCTCCTGCTACAGGTACAGGAACTTTACACATCACCTTGGAGGATGTCAATGACAACGTCCCAGCCCTTTACCCAACACTGGCTAAAGTTTGTGAGGATGCAAAAGATCTCAGGGTAGTGGTACTAGGAGCATCAGACAAAGATCTTCATCCCAACACAGATCCATTCAAATTTGAACTGAGTAAGCAATCGGGCCCAGAGAAATTGTGGAGAATCACCAAGCTTAACAGTAAGTCTAATGTTTATTTTTGTATGCGTTTGGTCCTCCCACCTCTACATCCCAATGTACTCACCCTGGGGCTGCCAGAGTGTGCATTCAAGAGCAGTTGTGAATGAAAGTCTTGTAGGATGGACCCAGTGCTGCTGCTTTACACTGTGCTATTTTTGCTTGGGCCACATGCCTGGAATCTGTACCTCTTTCTTCTTCTTGTTAAGTTGACCCAATTTTTCTCTTTTACCTTTAGCTACTAATGACTTACAGTTTTGTAAATGTTACCATGTTACATGGCATGGAATTTGTTTGCATGGGATGCACCAGGCTTTGCAATAGGACAGCATGGAAGTTTTGCATGGTCTTTAGCAATGCACTTGAAAAACTTCCTAATTTTTTGTATTTCAACTCTTCACAAATAAAACACCCAGCTGCACTGGGACCATACACTGTTGCTAAGAGGATCAAGGCACATGCTCTGCAAGTGCAGATGGTTTGTATGACAAATTATGGACACAAAGTACTACGTTTTTTATTAATGTAGATTGTTTCTGTTTGTTTTCTAGTACGTATTCTTTGTCACTATCAAATATTTTAGCAGTTGATTTCATATTCTTAGAAGAAAACTAAGGTGGAGGTAAAGACTGTACTTGCCTGCAGGACAAAGTGCAGGAGTAATTTTCTTTGCTGCTCTCCAGACATCAAACCACTGCTCAGTAAAACCCCTAAAACAGTTAGCACACTCATCTGGGTACCAATAGCTGTTATGACCCAGTGTGCTCGGGTGGAGCAGATCTGTGGGTCTGAGGAGACTGTACATCCCTTCACCACCTCCTCAGGCAAACTGGAGAAACAGTTAAGCAGCTTTGCCTGTACTTCCTTGCAACAAGGTTTTTTCCTTTGGCAAATAGATATATTCTTCCCTCTTGTGTTGGTTTGGGAATGATGTGCCTTAGCACTTCATTAGTGTATTAGTTTCCACAGGCAAATTCTGCCAATAATTTGCTGACCAAACAATGTATTTAAACAAAAGGGGCTCATACGTCCTTCTGGTGGGGTTTGGAATATGTTTGTAATTAGATCTCAGCCCATGAAATAATTTCTTTAACTGCCTCTTCTTACCTTCAATTCAATTATTCAATCTTTTCCTTAGGTTGTTTCCATTTTTATTCTTCATTTTCATTAGTAACTGTGGCATGTTTACAGATTGTTCTTCCCTTCCAAACAACCACAATTTGGCTAATTCTCACCTTATCCTTTGCAGATACTCATGCACAGGTCATCCTGCTTCAAAACCTGAAAAAGGCCAATTACAACATCCCAATTTCAGTGACAGATTCTGGAAAACCACCTCTGACTAACAACACAGAACTGAAATTACAAGTGTGTTCCTGCAAGAAATCCAAAATGGACTGCAGTGCAACTGATGCCCTTCACATCAGCCTGACCCTCATCCTTCTTTCACTCTTCAGTTTATTTTGTAAGTCTTTTCCTGAACTGTAAGTAATGAAGCATTATTTTAGCTGCTCATTTGTGCATTGCATGCAAAACCTACCAAAGGAGAAATTTAATTCATACATTGATAACACAATGCAGGAAGTTTGGATTGGTGTTTGGTTTGGTTTGTTTTTTTTCCTGAGAAGTTGCTATAAGAAAGAGGGAGAGGATAATTTTTTCATGGTCAGAAAACAGCAAGGAGTGCCTTGTTGTCAAATTAAGAAATAGAAGTAGTAATTTTAAGAGGAATCTGTGAGGATTAGAGCTAGTAAACTATAAACTCAGAAGTAGCCACTGTAGTAGCAGATTTATGAGATGCTTTCTTTCATCTCTCTCTATTTGAATTCAATTCAAGAACAGAAACAGGAGATTAAAGGTGTTCTTGTAACAATAACTGTGCTGGGTCACCAGGAAAATGAGTACTGTCTGCTTCAATCTATTCCTCTGTGCAAAGTGCACAAGCCCCTGGAACATGAGGAACTTATTCAAGAGTCTGGGTTGGAGGGCAGAGAGAAAGCTTTCTGAAAGAGACTTACAGAACTCCTAATTTGAACTGGAAGGAGTAAAAAAATCACAGGATGGCTGAAGAGCAGGAATTCAAAACTATGGAATCCCAACATATAACATAAGTGTGTCCTTGGCTCATCCTGTGACGGATTCCAGAATTTTTTTAATGTATTGTTTTGAGTTCCTATCTATTGCAAAGGAATAGCTGTATCCTATATCTGTAACAGTGAATCTGTTATTCAAGGATTATTACTGTCTTCTAATGTTAGTAAAATACGTTGTATGGTGAATTAACACCTAGGCTGTGCTGAATATATTCCTGATGAGTTAAAATGTACCGTGAGGCAGAGGTAGAGGTCAAGGCAGACACAGCTTAGACATCTGAGGCTTCGTGTGTGCCTGATTACACATCTTGTCAGGTTTGGGTTTTTTAGAGTATATTACTTTTATCCCAAAAGGTTAACACGAAGGTCATTGTGAAAGGGCTAGAACTAGCTAATGTTTGTGATGCTCTTTGAAGATGAAAAGGACTTTATAAATGCTGAGTGCAAATTCAAGTCCTTTGTTCCAATCAGTGACATCTGAAGTCTTTCCATTGCCTTTGGTTCAATTATTTTGGGTTTAGTCTGCTGGAACTAAACACAGACTGCAGCTGTTAGAAGTAATAAGTTAAAAATATTTGACAGTATGTGACACTGTTGCATCAGTGATATAGCTCTAGGTATTGGAAAGTTCTTGAGTTGCTTTTAGTGACTATGGATCTTCTCCAACTGAACTCTGGGAAAAAAAATAGGCTCTTGATATCTACATGGTGCTCTGAAAGACAGAGGAATTCCCTCTCTTACTGTAAAAGCAGCACTGAATAGATTGTACACCATGAAATAGTACAGACATACCTAAAGGCTCACTACAGCCTGGGTTCACCCAGAGTGCTGCAAGAAGTATGGAGAGAGTTGCAGAGAGGAGTAAGATTATGCACACAATGTGCCAGTGTGGTGTTCTGGTCTGTTGTCTGAGCTGTAAAACCAAAACAAAGGGAAATAGTGGGTGAGTTGAAGGGAAGGAGAAGGAAAGTTCTCTCTCTTGGGGCAGAGGCTGCTTTTATACACAGCTGTGTGTATCAGGAGAGACTAGAACCTTAACAAAGGACATTTAAAAATAAAATGCTGCTGTGGTTTGTGTTCAGCCAGACACAGAGTGAGGCTGATACTCCATGTCTGGCACATCTACCTAATCATGCTTCTGCAAAGCCAGCAAGCATAACAATGTTCATAACTATTTTCCTCAGGTGTAAATGACTACATGGAGATATAAAAGAATGAGGCTGGGAGCCAGTTAAAATAACGTGGTTCTGTATTTGAACTGCTCCAGAATGTGCTGGTACCATTGCATTCCCCATTCCTTTTCAGTGCTTTTTTTTATAACTGCAATTAGTTTCATTGCAATGTTTTGTATAGCCAAAATATTTATCAGAGTAATCAAAGATTATGATGCCATAAAAACAAAGAGAACTTTAGTGCTTATTGAACAGATGAAATATCCTATTTCTAGTGGCAAGTTATGGGTTTAATTTTTGCAAAAGCCCTTACATGCCTCACTTTGTTCCCAGTGTTGATGTTTTATGAGGCTCTTGTTCCTGGGAGGTAAATCCTTCAGTCAAATGAACTTTGTTATTCATGCCAAAGTATTTCTTTTTGTATTTGACATCTGGTGTGAGGATAGATAGGCCTCTGAAAGGGCTGCTCATGTTACAGATGCCCTGCATGAATCTCCTCCCCATACAAAACATCTTGGCATTATCATTTAAATGGTGCAATTATTATCTATACTTAGAAGATGTGCCTCCTTTGTAAATCATGGAAGAAGTCATATGTGGTAGATTTCTGAAGGATCTGAGCATAGAACTGAAGAGCCTGATTAATACTGTAATGCATGCAAAAAGCAGCAGTTTGGCCTATTCTGTAGCTGCCCTACTGTGTTCAGTATAGTGAGGGATAATGGGATGCAGACTGCAGAGTTGCCTGGAAGCTCTTGGAAAGGTAGAGATACTTGGAACCAGAAAAATTTAGTTCCTGTTAGGCAGAAACAGAAAATATAAGATGCCACAGTGTATGGGCAGATTGCTGGTTTTCCACAGGTGGAATTAAAAGGCAGTCAGTAGAGAGCTGGTTGTAAAAAAGGGCATCTTTGCATATTTTTACTTAGTCTAATGAATTACCACTGGGAATCACTGAAGCTGAGCTGGAAAGATGGATCATGGAGAGGCACAGGGCTTTCCAAATTAAGCCTTACCTATCATTAATGCGGATACCATGTGTAAGATGAGAACTAGTATAGTGGCATCTTACCCTCTGTCACCTTTTTCTAGACACTAGTGCAGATAAGATAGCACCAACATGTTCAGATATAATTTAGAACTTTTAGGAATTAAATTACATGCAGGTGACTGAGAAAACAAAATAAGCCAAAAAAAAGTGAAAGATAGAGATAAAAACTAAACGTGTGTATATTGTCATGAAGTTAGTAACAAAGCTCCCCCAGGCCCTATGGAAGATGTACAAAGAACTACTCTAGCTGGCAGAACTAGGCTTTATATGAATTACAAATTATTTCTATTAATACTATTGTTTAAAGGAGTATTTGAATTCTGGACTTTTGACTTGACAATAATTATTTCACTTAAGTGCATAATCATACAATGATAATTGCATTTCAGATTTTCTTTTATATTCTACCAGCATAAAAGACCAAGTTAGATTCAAATGTGTTGAATCAAGGGACTAAAAGAGGAACCAAAGGCACAATAGTCGTGTTCTGAACAAGCAGAATTCAGAGCAATTCCATTAGCAGCTCAGTCACACTAGCAATAATGTTTTACTTAAATTTCCTTGTTAGAAAAAGATTCATGTTTAAACATTTCATGTTGGGGGAAAACAAATTGATATCTTACTTGACTGTCAAACATTGATAAGACACTACTTTCTGTTAACCTGGCCTGTGGATTACAAAGTTGTAAATTGACTTGAATTTAAACAAGTAAAGTAATCCATTATTATGAACAGACAGCAAGGTGAGAGACTGGGGGCAAATACTGCTTTGAAGAAATTAAATAAGCTGGAGGTCTCTACATTGGAATTAATTTGTTAAACCGAGGGTGAAAGGCCTCAGGTGTGTTGAAAAACAGAGACTTGCACAGATGTCTGTACTGTGATTGCAACGAAGCCTTAGAGATACCCTTGAATTTAACTACCTGTTAATTCCCACTAACTTTTGCTGTTTCATGCCTGCTGTCCCCCACCGTAATGTCTTTCTGATTAGAGGAAGGCAGCTACAGGGGCAGTAGACAAATTGTCTTGGTTTTTTTCCTCCTTGAGAAGTATATATTTGGTATTAAACTGTTACAAAAGTTCAAATTATATTAAACTGGTAGATTTGAATTTACCTGAGCACAGACAGTCGGAGTTAAAGCTGCAGTGTTATCCTTCATCTAGTTCATTTTTCAAAGCAACAGAAGCATCTGTATCACTTGTGTATCCTGTTATTTGTGCAGCAACATCAAATGGCTGTGGGCTGAAGCCATGAATTCTTGAATGACACAAGACTAAGAGAAATCATAGCAGGTTTCAAATGGAAAGGACCTCAAAGGTCTTTGCTCTTTCAGTGTAGATTTGTTACCTGCAGATTCACAGTTTTCAGCCTTTATTGTGAGTTACTGGCTTAGTTTTAGACAATCATGTAGTGCATTTTTTTTTTCAGTCCTCAACTACTGTTTTGTTTTTACAATAGGATTTTTATTTTTCCTAAAAAGTTCATCCCAGTTCCATACAGTTCCAAAGGGGAAGCTTCAGAGGAACCATTCCCAATAGGTGAATTTGCTATAAAGAGCAGTTTTTGTAGTGTTTTGTTGGTTGGTTTTGGTTTTTTTTTTCACCTTGTAGCATATTTTAATCTTCTGTTGGCATTTGCTACTTCTTGGAGCAGTGGCATTTAATGAAAAAACTCCACACAACAAAACAGTTGTTCCTAGCATGACTAGGACATTTTGTAATGTATTTTTTCCAATTTCTGAGAAGTAAAGTTTCCCTATATTGCTTAGAATTTCACAAGCTACCAAGATGGGGTCGTTCTGCTGTGAAAGGTGGCCCGTGGGTTTGGGGTTTTTTGCACTATTCTAATTTATGTTCTTGCATTAGAGTACATAAGATATAGGTATTCAAGTAGCAGGTAAAAAGTAATTGGAAATTACTGACATTTAGTGAGCTCCAGTGATATAAATCTCACTTCCTAAACCAAATAATAACAGCAGCAATACCCACAATTATTCTAATCCTTATTATCTTTGTTACAAATGCTTTTGTCCATATCAACATTATTAATCTTGTTAGTGGTAGATTATCAGTAATTATAGAAGCATTCTCAAATGTGTGGGTGAGAAAAATACCATTGTCTCCCTAAAGATTAGTTGGTTAGTGTCCA